CAATTAATATTCACAAATAAGTTGTGCCTTCTCACCTTTCAATGTTAACAGCTCAAACAGGAAGCGCACCTTGAGCTATCTGCTTGACACTGCGGATCACTTTCCTCCTCTTAGCCCTTGCTGACCTGTAGACTTCTGGTACTTTTCATCCCTGGTCTTCTTGAAAACACCTCAGGTATCCTGGTGCGTTCTATTCTCTGCTCCTTCCTATCTGCAGGTGTTCCCCAGGGGTCTACCCTGGGTCCTCTACACCCACTCTGAGTTTTTTATCTCCACCTCCTTTTTATTCACCCATCCTTCTTTCCCTCATTCTGACAATCAGGTCTTCTACCACATCTCTGCTTCTGTGATAGCCATCTCCTCCTGTGTACCTCTCCATCTCTATTCCTCCACCCTCTACTCTCACCTGTTAGGGTGCAACAAACTACCCACAAATTCAGATTGCTCAGTCCCTGATCGTCTTTCAGCATACTACACTCATCCTTTCAGCTCTTAACTACATCCTTTAGTTATTCTTACATTCCACTCCACTGTTTTTAAAGCACAGTCTGGCAATCTGCTTTTTCACTGGAAACACAGAACACAGACCGATAGGGTTACTGGATTTCTGCTTTGTGTTCACACTGCCTTTACAATACTGTTTTCATACTACTTCATTTTTGAGCAGCACTTGAGGTGTCAGTTTTTCTTTGCTAGCCTGCCTTACTTTGCTCTCCTTTATTGTACTTATTTTACTGCAACACTTTTCAAACAATGTAAGACGCACCAGGTACTGGTACAGTATCTACGCACTCGATGCAGGCTTTTGATGACCATGCAAATGAACAGGTTTTGGTTTCAATTCATACCTCTCTGTTCGCTGCCTTTTCACCACAGGCTCTTCTTGATCAGCTGAGGGCTGAGTCTGGCCATCTGGGACTGCAGCGTTGTCCTCTGTACAGACAACACAAAAGTCACAACCGTTTTTCCCTCCAGAGAGCGGGTCTAAAATAGTGCTGTAAATGTGTCTACAAATGAAATACCAGCTCTGTCGGACGGATCTGAGAATATACAGAAGTTTACCAATTTAATACAAAGCAGCTTGTCAAATCAGTGCCTCTGCATAGAGATTTCCATCCTAAAGGGTACCAAAGCATTTTAAACACAAAAGGGGAACCATTTCATCCATTGAACTTTCGGTTAAATAAAGGGGAATCTTACAGAGACCAGATTGTGCAAGACTGGGGATAAATTTAGACAGAACCTTGGGGTGACCCAATTAGTGAGGATCTCGGCTTAAAGTCATATCTGAAGGATGTCTCCATACTGGGTTGTTGGGATTGGACGTTCTGGTCTAGATGGAAGTGTGCTACCTACTGGTCCATCAAAACCACTAAGAGTTGCTTCCTGATTTCAGGTCAGCCGATCAGTACTAACCATTCCAGCCTAAGCACCTCAAGGTTATGGAGATCTGACCTAATCTTCGAAGGTGAAAGAGCTGCTTATTAGACCGCCTATTGCTTCTGCAGTTCTTGAAGAATGAAAGTATGCAAGTATGCAAATGAATATACATTAAAGCTTGAGTAGGGAGCTGTGTCAGCATGCGTGGGCGGCAAGGAACAGGTAAAGGTTTATTCCATACTGAAAGGAACCAAAAGCGACAATGTTTCAGGTGTGAAGAAGGCTCCACAGCCGAAACGTTGTCTCTTTTCCCTTCAGCATGGAATAAACCTTTACGATTAAGCTGGTTGCAAACCGAAAGATGTTCTTAGCGTACTCTACACCCCTTAAGAGTAACACTTGAGTCCGATTCTTTTCGTACACATATACATCCGACATGGGGCACACAGAGCGCCCCACTCCGGCTTTTACAGGTCATCAAGCAGCGACTGATCGCAATCCAAAGGGACAGGTGGTGAGAATCCCCATGCAGGGCATTAGTGTTAAATCACTTCTATACCTTTCACGGTACACGTCAAAGTGCTGTACAATTAGCCCATGTGGACACGCAACGGGAAATCAATGCTTTAAAAAATAAAACCCAAGATGCGATTTAAAAGTGCTCAAGATCTGAAATGTGCAGGGAGCTCACTTCCCCCAGTACTAGAGGGACAGGAAAGGAAACAGAAATGAAGACAAATGGGGACTATGGCTATTGGTGGCAACTCCCTAATAGGAGTATTACAAGCTAGAGCTGTACTGTGAGTGGAAACAAATACCCACATGTCCCGTTGCCACTCGGCACATGCTCAGATCACATTCGGTTCCACCTGCCCAGAAGGCAGGAAGGGGGCAGCCATACCTCTGGAGACTGCCCTGTCGCTGGGCTCCCCTTCACTGCCACCCTCCGGTCGGACCTCCCCGCTGGGCGGGGGCCGCTGGTCACTCTCTCTCTTCCTTTCTGGGAGCCTTGCAAAGTCCTGGGGGGGTCAGGAAAGGGGACGGACCAAAACATAACTAAAAAACTCACTATTGACTTGCATCACACAACTTAAAGGAGGAGCCCTCTTTCTGCCATTTTAGACCGCGTTAGGAGCGTAGACCCAAGATGTTCACTAATTCTGAAGCCAAAATGGTTTCCTGCAACTTGTCGTTGGGTTGCAGGAGGAATACTGGAAACACCCCCTGCTCACCTGCCAGGTGTTTGATCTTCGTCCTGCCTGTGACTCGCTCTGACAGATGCCAAGATCCTGGTCGGGATACCGAGGTGTAACAGAGATTGATTACCGCTGCATTTCGGCATCTGCGTTCGTCAGCGGTCAAGGTTCTACTGCAAAAATAACACCTGCTCCCTGCCAACATGCCCACTTGTCCAGATGGAGGCCGAACTCTGTAATCCAGGTGGTGACGAGGCAGGCAAGAGAAAGAGTTTGCCAACACACGATACGTTTTTTTGACAAAAACGAGGCAGCCGAGCCCTGGAAATCATACTGTTTTATGCGATTGTTTAAGACCTTATTACGCTTAAAAGTACTGTACGTCAGCGAGTGGAAATGTCCCCCTCCGTTGGGAAAAACAGCTTTCCCCCAAGTTCGGCTTGAGCACTCCTCACCTTGTAGTGACGGCTGTGGGGGTGGTAGTGTCGGGGAGGAAAGCCCATGACGGGGGTCTTGATGGCCACTCCCATGGGCGCAGGCCCCAGGAGGGATGGCCGGGCCCCAGCAGGGAAGAAGGGGGGGAACTGCTGCCCACCCATTGCGAAGCCACGCAGGTTTCCTGGACGGGGAAACAGACCAGTGGGGGTTAGAGACCAGGGCGCCCACACGAGATGGGTCTGGGTATCGAAGCGTGCTCTTCCTGCTGAAGCGTCCTGCACTGGCAAAATAAGAAACAGGCTTCTGGTCTTGCATCGTCAATACATCTGACACAGGATTTTTCAAACAGGTGGCGGTGAGGAGCTAAAGTAGCACCCCTTTTACTCCACTACTAGGTGTGGCCCCAGTATGTGACATACTCTGCCCCTAGTTGGAGCAGTTCCAGGGATCTGCGCACTTATAAAATCACAAAGGTGACATGCAGAGCTGTCTGAAAGTCCTTTCACGCGTAAGACCTGCAGATCTACTGTTAAACTCTGCCCGTCTGGCCGCTCCCAGAGAAGCAGGTCAGCTGCTCCTGCATTCCCCCAGTTTCCCCAGGCCTGGAAATCAGGTTTGCACATTTCCGTGTCTTTTAAAATGAGTATCGAACAACTTGTGTTTCAATGCAGGAGAAAAAAAAAAGAGATTCATGAAATGGAAGTCAAATGTTAATGACGAGCCAATTGTTGAACTGTCCGCAGTGCCTTTCCATGAGGAGGCTGAATGACACACAGCAAATGCGGTCAAAAAGCAGCAGTCTGGAAGTCACGCTAAGCAGCTGTTGCGTTCCCCACTGATCAATTCTTCAGTCACTCAAATGCAACAAAATAGAATAACGCTAATTAGAGGAAGCAGCAACAGTTATCCCACTCAGGTGGTACAGAACTGTGGCTTCCCACTCTGTTCCTGATGAGTTCTGGTATTTATTCCAACTTGGTTCGCACTAATTGATTTCGATTTTCTATTTGAGGAGCATCTTGAAATGTCCTTGAAACTTTCGTTCTTAACTTGGAAGGCTGTTTGGAATTAGTGGACTAATTACCAAGAACACCGCTCAATCGAGTGTCACCTTAAATGTTACCAGCTTGATCCGTGCAGAATGTTTTTTCCCCTTGTGGGGAATATTTGACACGATTATTCCTACCCGCTGCTATGTCTATCATTATAAATTCTATTAAGAGCTGTGTAAACAAAAAAAAAATAGGGAGACATTATTAAAGGATTATTAGGTTTTTTTTTTCCTGCATTGTGGAGGAGAGACTGTATACCAGTGCTGTGTGCATAGTCTTTAAACCAAGGACTGACTGAAAAGATAAAGTATAGCTAAACAAGCAGATCCATTAAAAGCATCAGTGATTATGATCTCAGATGGAACAACAACCAGTGAAGATGGGGAGTCACAGGACTGTGGATACAAGCCACTGGGCAGGAACACAATCATTTCTGCAATCAATGAAAACCTCCACAACAAATCACGCCACATCTCCGATGAAAGACCTCTCCAGAACTGGGTCTGAAAGGAACACCAGATGGACAATACATTTTAGAACTACTGTACATGTACCGTCCTCCAGTTTTCTGCATGCAAATGTTTTCTTTCCCGAAATAAGAAGCTGACGTTCTTCCATGTGTTTCTTGGTGCAAAAATCCTGCATTTCTGATGGTTTCCAATTGCATGAAGCCCCTTCAAGCCCCAGACATACCGCTTGCTGTAGAAAATGTAAATATGCTGGTAGGAGATTTTAAATATACATTCAGAACATAACTCACATCCAGAAATAGCAAAAGCAATTGAAAGATTAATAATATTTGTTTCCATTGTATACCCACCACATTACATGTACAGTATACTACACTACCTCTACACCCCTTGCACATGAGCCTAAAAAGGTGATAACAGCATTTCTGAAAAGCCTGTTCTTATATATTGAAATAATAAACGGACAGAGATTCAGAAAGTTGGCGTACGTGTGGGGAAGCCTATAATCGGGGATCTCTGTACACTGTCCAAATGGAATACCTAATTGACCCGTAGTCACAGTTTTTCCATATGCTTGATCCAGAGAGCTGGCATTGCTTGCAGCCTGCTTGGCCAGCCTATTCCCGACACCCTCTTCTTCTCCACCAGACCTTCTCTGGACTGCATGTGACAGCAGGAGCTGTGCAGCGGCCCCAGTCTGTACCAGCGGCGTTGGGCATCTTGGGAACCGGATGCCCGAAACAGCCACGGAAGGAGAAGACTGACAGTACCTTGCATCTGCTGCATCAGCAGGGCGCCCTGGAGCATGGGGTTGGGCCCGATGAGGGTGGTCTGGGTGGCAGAGCACAGATTCACCATGCGGGGTGAAGGAGGAGGAGGAGGCGGCGGGGGGGCCTGCGTAGGTGGTGGGAGCGGCCTGTCGCCAAAACACAAAAAGGCAGAGGACACGAGACGCGGTCAGGACCACCCAGCGCCAGTCTCAACGTCAGGGTGCTGTCCCAGCCCGCCTGAACCCCCACTGACTCCTAGCAAACTGATGTGCTCATCCTGCGAGACTGCGTGTCTGCGAGTTTGACCGCTTTGGATTCATGCCTCTCCAGCACCTACAAAACGCCAGCGGGTCATTTATTCTCTTTTGGGAGGGCGTGCTGGGAGAGCCCAACAGCAGCAAGATCTTTCCAAAGAGGAGTGTGTGAGGTGAGATGTTAAGTGTCGTTAACAGTTTTAATCAAACCGTCAATGCTCAAACTCAACTCTTTCAAGGGTGAAATGCAAAGTCTGCAAGACTACAATACAAAAATCATACACTACTATGTTGATTGGATGCAGTGCCTTGCTGAAAGATTCAGAACCCTCCTACGGTGTTCCTTTCTGTAAAAACCCAAAATGATACCTACACTATTTTCAAACTTTCTCAGTCAAAACCTGAAGCGCAGCCTTGTGCTTTAGTTAGATCACTGTCCTCCTGAAAAGTGAATTTTCATTTCTGCGTCTTTACCTGCTTTAGTCTAATATCCCTCGATATGCCTGTACTTTGCTCCATTTTCCTAAAATATCTTAAATTAATGTCCACAAAGGGTGTGTCCACTTTTTTGCTCGATTTTATCATGTTAAGATTAATGCTTAATAAATATTCCACCACTAATGAGTCATATAATCTAATTTATTTTGCCTAAATATCTTAATTTAAAAGTTTCACTTCCTTAACATAAAAGGCCTTGTACTTTCTTTGTGATTAACGCCATGTTGCTGTCCGATTATCACAGATCAATAGTTTTTAAAACCCTCTCCAATGTTTAGCAAACGATAACGGGTACCCCCAGACAAGCCAATCACTTTTTTAGGACTTAAAACAAGTTGTACAGTATTTCGTTTCATAGTCTAACGAGAGGAGACGGGTGAGATGAGATAAAATTAATGTTTTATTTCAAGGTGGGCGATATACACTAGGGTTACAAATATTTTTCGCATAAAAAGGCAGCACACCGTTATGCTGTAAATTAGCTGCAGATCACATTGGTATAAAAAAAATCTAGATACTTCAACACGCACATAAATGATCAAATATATTGCAGATATGCAATAAATTGAGGCTCCTGTCAGTTATTTGAATACCTACTGCGTAATGGTTCCGTGTAAACCAACAGGTAGTTCATTCAACAGAATACTACTTCCTGTTATAAGAAAATCATTTCGCTCCTCATAAGATTTGTGTTATTGAAATAAACTCTTTACTATTTCCGAAGCATGTGGATGGAGGGGGGGTGGGAGGTAAATGCGACATTTTTTTGCCTACGATTTCTCGACTTCGCGGCCTTCAATCCCCGGCCTGGATTGGGCTCTCTTACCGGCCTCCCTGGTGGTGGTGGTGGTGGTGATGGTGAGGAGGCGGCGGCGGCGGCGGTGGAGGCGGTGGAGGAGCTGGCTGGTGTTGGAAAAGCTGTTGGAGCTGCCGGAGGTGCTGATGAAATTGCTGCTGTTGGTGATGGTGGTTGAACATGTTGTCGCCGTGGAAACGCTACTGCTGACTATAATTACAGAAGAAAACGGAGGCAACCAGTAAGTAATCCATAATAAACCTCTTAGAATTACTCATACTCACACGAGTATCTACGCTGTGACATCGCGGTGGATCTTGACGTTTAATACCGAGCAATAACCTCGCTCTCCAAAAATAGGAACTAACTTTTGATTCATTTGCAACTGAATGCACAAAAGCCACTGCTCACTCGCTCTGCATAATTCAGTGAATGAGTGCACTAGCTACAGCTGACAAAAACAGCCTAGTAACGTACAGTACAAAGCGCATCTTGTACACACAGCAGGTGAATTGGGTGTTTTCGCAATCCAGTCATAAACCGCAAGATTTATCGACCCCCCCACACCATACAAATAAAAATGAACAGAAAAGGCGAAGTGCTACACTTCGAATAATAAAAAGGCAATGTTCAATGAAAGGCTCTAGAGCCAGCCTCCCTGTCTGTAATCGCACTGACACAGGAACTGTACACAGCGTAATACTCCGAACTTGGCAATGCACAACTTCAGGAATCCAGTTACATGCTCAGGGAACATTTAAATTCAACCTGTCGTCGCTCCTGTCTGTCCTGTTGATTATGTTTTTTTGTCCCACCGGCAGCTGCGCCTGCTATTTTCTTTGAAGCAATTCTACTGTACTTGCTTTTTAGGAGATCGTGCGCTTTGTCACTGAAGTCTGTGGTTCCCTGACATCGCCTCCGGGAGGACGGGAGGACTGTATGCAGTGTTTTTATTTTTAAAGATGGACGGGGGAGGTACTGTACGTGACATCGCTGGTCTTCGTTAATTAAGCCATCTCCCTTGGGCCCCCTTTCCTGAGAAGGGAAAACCTTTGAAGACGCCAAAAAAAAAAAAAACGCTTCCAGGGTAGTGTGTGCAGTGAGCCGCATTCAAATGCCCCGTTTAAATACCTCGTATTTATAAGCAATGTAGGACCAGGAGGACAGTTCACTGCTGTGCAAGTCGACTGGAATTCTATTTATTATTAATAGAATTTTCTATTATTGCAGAGGTGATCAGTCAGGGGAAAAAAACACTTATTTAACTTCTCGAATGAGCCATGCAAACAGGCAGCATTGTTTGTTACCATAGTCAAGAATACCTAAAGCACAGGCGTGTCAGCCTGCATCCCACTGTCTATAACATGGTGTCAGAAAACCAGTAGCCCTGGGCAGGGGTGTGACTGGGAAATTGTTCAGGGTCCAGCTGTAGTGTCTACACAGGGCCAGACTTCGGTGTTCGTAGGCCCTGGGCACTTTCACCCCGAAAAATTTCGTAGGCCCTGAAATCCAGCACTATATCTCCAAGCAGTGAAAGATACCCAAAAATCAATTAATTACATCTAGCATCCTAATATCTTCATCTAACTGTGTTTTCTCCGGGTGATCTAGTTTTCTGCTGCTTTCCAAAGCCATGCTGGCTAGCTTAATCAGGGTATTTAAAACTGTCCCTACTGTGTGTACATGTGACCTGTTCTGGGTTCTGTGGTGTCCCATCCAGGGCGTAGTCTTGCTTTGTTCTCTATGCTTCTGGGGTAGGCTCATACTCCAAAGTCTTTGTAAGAGAAGGAGTCATTCTGATAATGTATAACAAGGGCAAAGATCTGTAACCAATAATGATATGGGTATGAAGTCTATTGGTATGCCAATATATGTGTTTTTAATGTCTTTTCATTACATTACGTATTATAGGTTAGAGCAAACATATGTAAGGAGAACCTATTAAAGGCTTGACATCCAAAGACTGAGTTGTGCCATCTTTTCTTTCATAATATCTCTAGAATTTATAATGGAGGGGAGGGACTTTATTGAACATGCTCATTCAATTTTAAATCTATTCACATTGTTTAGTATGGGGGTTTATTTTAAAGCGATGCACAAGTTTAAGGGGGAAAAAAAGCATAAATGCTCAGTCAAGTAAGTAGTCAGTTTTTCTGTTTCTCAGATTGCAAATTTTGAGCAGCTGGACCCTGCTTGCCGACACATTGTTTCAGCACCATGGACAGAGTTTGCAGTTGACTATATAAGCCAAGGTATGATATTTTTATGCACTAGAATTTCCAGTAGAAAATAAGCTGATACAAATTATGAAAACAACAAATTGTATGAAAAACATGTGGTTTCGTATGTGTTATGAAATCATAACACATAGGAAACAACAATGCATACTTGCTCAACTCTCTGCTGCAAGCAATTATAAAAGACCAGCCCAGAGAGGACCTGCATATTTAAAAATGAAAAATCGGAAAATTATAATAACCTTTGTTTGAAAAGTGCCTTTCCAAACTCAGGGCCGCTGTACATAGTGATCAAAAAAATACAGTGAAATAAAACTGGAACATGCGAGACAAGATATAAGACAAGCAGGTGTAGGCCCGGCTTAAAAGGTGTGTTTAAAATTTAGATTTAAAAACAGTGAAAGAATCTGCCTCTCAAAGACAGCCAGGAAGGGCATTCCATAACAATAGAGCTGCGACTCTAAGCACAGTCAGTAGTATAACATTTAGTCCCAAGTACAGTGAGCACAGGACCAGCCTCAACTGAATGGAGCCTATGGGAAGGAGTGTAGACAAGGAGGTGTTCAGATATGTATGATGGAATCAAATTATTCAGAGCCTTATAAGTCAGTAACAAAATTCGATTTGAAAATGCGACTTCATAGGCCGCCAATGGAGAGACACAGTGGGTGAGAAGTCCGTCTGCAGAGCTGTGGACATACTGCAACTCATTGAGGAGAGTCTTTAGGGCGCCCACAGAGCAAAGAGTTGCATCTCAACGCGGGCAATATTTCTAAAACAAAGCCAAAAAAGCTGTCCCGTTTTTCACATGGGACTCAAATGACGGGAGAGGATTAAGTGTGACTTTCCAGACTGAGGGAAGCTATCCACCATTACTGTGAGTCTCTCCCACCACCACAGTACCTGCATTGCCTGCCAGTAAACGTTTTGTTCTGACACTACTTAGCTTCAAGGATTTCCATCTAGGAATTTGCTGGACTGATCTCATACACACTAGGCATTGCACTAAATTCTTCAGAGCCCATTTGCTCTGTACCATCTGAATGTAGCAACCCCTTGCCGCCAGTGTTAGTACTAGAAGAAGCAACATGCTTTCAAAGTGTCATTCTGTGCCACCTGGAGAACTTTAAACCCATCAGCAGTTGAACATTTTCTCCCAGTCCCACGTTCCTCTAGTCCAGATTAGACGGGGAAGCATGTTTTTGAAACTCAGTGAAATTTCAAGCCGAGAAATTGTCAGTTTGAATTTACCGTGAGTTCACTGCAAACCCACCGCATTCGTTAGTGCTGTGTTTGTGCCGGTTTGTGCCTTTGCAAGTACAGTAGCTTCCCAGCTGCTTTCCCTCCGGAGAAATAGCGGATATAGCGCCTTCTTTTTCAGATAATCACATGACCATGTACGGCGACTTTGAAAGCTAGTAGCCCCGTCTGGAAACGACGGTTGATTTTAAATCTAATACCAGTATTTTCTGTACGTTTGTGTGAACAGGAAAATGAAGTCTCCGGGTTTAGGTTTAGCCCGTAAAAGCGAGCTTTAGCAAACAACTCCATGTTGTTAAAAAGGCTTTATCTAGCACGTCTTAATACTGCATAGTCGTTTTTTTTTATCTGAAGAAGCAATCGGTTTCTCATTGTCTCATTTCTCAATGCAAATATGCAAATCAAGGGACGTTTAAAGATTCGACCTGTCTTTTGAGCCATGTACAGTATGTACAAATACAAGAATTAGCTGTATTACAAGACCTGTAATATAGGTCGAATAGAGAATTCCTGTATTACAAGAACAGTATTATGCTATCTTTTTTTATGCAAAATTCGGAAACCAGTGAAAAGGAACCAGGATTTTTTTAAGGGAAGGGACACTGTGTACTAATTCGACTTAGGTATTTCATAACACGATATTGAATTCTGATCACTTTTTCAATTAATCAGAAATTTGCATCTCTCTCTCAAAGATGACAATTGTGAGTTAATATAAAGACACTGCGTCCATTCGTTCATCGTCAGCCGTCTGATATTCGTAGACAACATTTTTACCACCTGCATTTTTTGCACTTGACTCCTGTTTTATAGTATATTAAATACTAGCTATTCTAATAGTAGTAAGAAGGAGTGATGTGATACTCCATTGATTGCAAAACTAGTTATTGCATCCTTATCACTATACTGTTTTCTATGCACACACCAGTTCAGATTCTGTTTACATGCATTGCTTTTGATATTTAAATCTTTAATCTGAAGGATTTAAATTTCCATATGGAACCTTGTCAAACGCCCATGGAAATATACAGGTCTTGACAACTACCAATATAAGGGAACTAAAGAGATACTCCACACACCAGCTGGGGTATAAAAGGTTTAGATAAATATAGTGTAGTTTTTTTTTTAATTCTCTTGAGAATCATTTTAGACACTTTGTTCTAAAAAATAAAAACCATTAACATGTTAACCTCTCAGACTTCACGTCTGACATGATATGCACGCTCCCCAACTCTACTGCAAATGTTGATGCTTTATTTTTCACTGTCATTCGAAAAGATAAACAGGTCGGGTCCAGAAGTAAAAACGGCTAGAAAAGCGCATTACAAAGGCGTCTCAGTAGCCTTAATGTTACAAAACCGAGCAAACAGGCGGAACCGCCTCGTCTCCGAACCGCGACTTGGCTTTAGTCAGGATAACAGATGGACACGCCCGGTGTTTTGCGTGGCCGGCCTGGTGGCTCCGCGGGCTGAACCATCGGACACTTCTAAAGTTCAGAAAAGCACCTCGACTCCCCGTGAGTGTCGTGAATCGAAGACGAGCCCCGAGCCTCCCCGTCAGTCTGAGATCTA